CCATGGAGAAGATTGATTTGGCCAAGCACTAATAACCGCCTCATGATTAAGACTGAGAAACAGTCTGTTTTTTTCATCAGATTTTGTACTGCTACCACTGTACTCTTCTGCACTAGCGATAAATTCTGTTACTGCTGCATCTGCTGCCATTACTTTCTGCTCAACTGTTTCTTCATAATATTCATCAAAGTTCCAATTCAGTGCTTCCCTTTCCATATCCAATTCAGGATCCAAATGACAAGCAACAACAGCTCTCATTTCTTCGTCTTCAACTTCAATTTTAATCGCCTTGTTATTTTCAAAATCCGCGTTTAATAACTGAGTACTCTGTTCTTCTTCGCCTCCCAGTAAGGTTTCAACATCCGCAGCGAATTCAGCAAGCTCAATATCAGATGAAAGAAACTCAGGAAGGTTCAGATCATGGCAAGCATCTTCAGTGTTCAACAAAATGTCCAGATCAACAATAGATCCAGTTTCATCTGGCACATTGCAGAGTTCTGCTTCAAACGGATCGAAAATTGGAACTCGATAAAGCAGCTGCTCTTCGTTTTCGAATTCATTTTCATCCAACGAGTTCTCTTCGCTGCCAATTTCCGGTACCCGATTTTCCTCGTTCTTTTTCCATTGCCTGATTTGTGCCTTTTTTCCATTTCTCGGCGTTCTAGCCTTTCGAGTAAATCCCTGGTGCCAAGAAGGTTGATGAGTTTTGTCGACTAATTTTGTAATGGTTGATTTGTTAGAACATGTTTCGAGACGAACACGTTCATGCCGACTCGCCAATTGGTTCGCCGAATGAATCGAAACATCGCACGATTGACAAAGAAAGGCATCATCAGCTGGGCAAAACCAACGTGCTCTCTTTGACAAACAGCTATCACAAGCTCTAGCTGTTTTTCCTCCTATAGCATTTGCCGTCTTACTTTCACTAGTCATCATTTACAATCGTTCTGATATAATATCAAAACGAGATCCGAAGGAGAATATAGTGAAATTCGTAAACGCTACGGAGGATTCAATTAAAAGGAATTTGAACAAGCCCAAAAAACAAAGTGGAACAGTTCGATATATATAAAGGATCGTTAGTACAATAATTGCTCATTTTTGTGTGCCCACAGCAACCGCTTCTGATATAACAGTTTATTGTTTCTACTTGTTGAGTCCATGCACTTTTGGCTAATATTTTCCTTGAAGAAGAAAATAAGATTAAGCTGTTTTGGGTCCCATAAATTGGCACATCTGATTATTGATTGGTTGAATTTCTAAAATCCATCCAGAACACTGTATTTTCATTGGTTAAATGTCTATATTTACGATTCTTATGGGGCCTATTTTAACATGTGAATGAACAAGGCTTGCTACTATTAGTGTTATTTATGACATTTTTGTCTCTATATTTCAGTTATAAGAATTTTGAATTTTTTTTAATTTTATTTTTCGTGTGTGGTCCTTTATTTTGTTTCTTTCAACTTATGTTTGCTTGATGAGAAAATCTGAACCATTGTTCTCCTCCACTTGATCCACTAGTGGATGGTAACAGATTTTAAAAATGGCCTCAAAATTTATTCATATGGTAATTTTAATTTGTATGTTAAATTATTATTTTTTGTAAAATAATAATAATAAATCTGGAAACAGCTATAAGCATAGTGGGCCATGCATGGAGGAGTACTCTTGTGGTAAGAATTCAAGAAACAGAATCTTAATAACCATATCCACTAATTTTTACATGCAAAAGACGAAAACATATATATCATTAGAAATATTAGGTTTTATACATTGTGAGTCGCATAAACTTAATAGTAAATTAAAATTTGAGTTATTCTTTGTTTCAATTGAGCATTTGAGCACCTAACACAAATTATTTCAATAAGACACTATTGCTTTAATTTTTTTTAAATTATCTTTTTTTTTACATGTTCATAAGTATTTATTAGGTGGTTAAGTCAACTATATGATATTTCATCTTCTTTATTACATGTATTAACCTCAATTAGAAAATGTTTAGAGTTTTACACTTTTTGAGATGAATATTGTATTTAATTTGAATGCTTTATTATTATATGTTTAGGTGTTTAATTGAAACAATTTATAATATTAACTTCGCTCAACTATGACTCAAATCTAATATACATCCTCATATTATCTAAGTGAGCAAAAAATATCCTTATATTATCTCAAAAATAACAAGAATCATCCTTTAGCCTATTTTTATCAAGAAACTGATTGAACCAATAAAATAAACATACTTTTTAGATTTGGTCACGTCGAAAGGATTAAAGTTACCTAAAAAAAATAAGGATATGGATAGGAAATGAATCTTGAATTTAAACTTCGTGTGTAGTTAGTTTATAGAGTATGTTTTTTTTGCATCATCAAGTAAATTGACTTGCGCCAAATGCCAATACATAAGTTTTGAAATATTCATACAGTATGTTTCGAAGGTTAGAAAAATTATGTTAAAAAATCATTTCAAATATATTGCATCCAACTATTTAGAGATTTTCTTTAGTAAAATAATGAGGGATATATACTGTATATACAATGTTCACATTTTATACAATGTACAAAAATATTGAAAATTTAGTGAAATCACGTAGGTGATTGGTTATTAAAATAAAAAAAATAATTACTTTATTTAAAAATTTTGAAGTTGGAGCTGTATCTTTTTTTTTTTCAAAGAAAATTTAGAATTTGAATATATATTATCTTAATATAATTTAAACTCTCAATTTTGAAAAATTAAAAAAAATCTCCTAACTTGATTAGTTTAACCATGTGTATATATATTCATTCAACTTGGCACATATTTTTGTTTGGGCGTGAGTTTCTTTAAAAAAAATATAGATAAAAGAATTAATCTTGCAACTTTTTGGATAGTTCAAAGATGTTTTTTGTTCACTTATATAACACTTGCAGGGCCAGCTCTTGCCTATTAATTTTTAGGCCAATGCCTTTTTGGGTCCTCAATTTCCTATATTATGATTATTTTTTTCATGAACAAAATAATTATTTATGATAAGAAGCACATATATATTCTTCCCTAATACTCACATTATTTATTTTGACTATATTGTTAGAGTAATATTCTATCGAAAATATGAATTTATAGACAAAAAGTGTTGAAGAAAGAAAATTACAAATATTTTTTTATTTCTTTGTAACTTTTCATATTAAAGTAGGGTATACCAAATTATCAACTTTTTGAATAATTCTAATTCTTATCTTTATTTAAAATTTATCAACTTATTATTCTAGAACTATACAATTGATTCATATAATAATTGTCTCCATAAAATGATGTTTTCAATGTTGTATTGATAAAGTCTTGCATAAAAATAATAAGTAAAAAAAATATTTGAATAAATAAATTATAAAAAAGATATTAAGAAATAATTTACATCTAAAAATTTAGAAAAATAATAAATACGAATAATATTTTTTAAAAAAATTTTAGGCCTCTAATTAAATTTTCACTTTAGCTCTCGAATTATATTGAGCCGCCCTTAAACATAATGTACTTTCGTTTTTAATCATACTCCAAAGATAATTTTAGCCAAAAACTCCATACTTCTGATCATATTCCAGAGATAATTTTAGTCAAAAACTCCATATTTCTAAGTGTTTAAATAAATTTTGATGACAACTCCAAATTGTAACTAAATATTTTTATCAATGTTTAAAGCCAACAAACATACATATCAATCTCTTTTCTGTTAACATAAGTATCTGTCCACGACAATCGAGATCAATACTTGAAAAAGGCAGATAATTAATTTCTTACCACAATTAAAATGTATCAATAATATAAATAAAATTTACACCATAAATATATCTTTAATAATGTCATCTTATTAACTGGAAGACAAGATAGAAAGTGATGAAGGTGAATTGTTGAAGTCATGGACATTCGTATAAAGAATCTTTGGTACAACAATAAATTGACAGTAAAATAGACAGGCATAAAATTAATGTACTAGTAGAAACTTGCTGACACTTGTCTCAATTTGACGTGGTGAATAAGTTGTTAGAACTATCTTAATTCATGTGTACCAAATCTTCTAAATCACACAATTTTACCTATGATGCAAGGTAACTTTAGGATATTACGTAAAATATGCATGTGTCTATTTATTCAATTGTATACTAGATAAAGTATTTATTTGAAGACACTTAAAAATTGAAGATCATAAATATCAATTGAGACTAAATCAAATGATATATTTATATATTAATTCGTGAATAAACCTTTTATATTAAAAAGTTACAGTATCATAACTTATATATTAAATTAAACACAAAAAAATAATATTTATGTTCCAGAAACACAACACCTTGTTATCTTTTTTTGTCCCTAAATTAGAAGGTTTCTAAATTTTGATTAATGGGGGACCTCACAATTCACTATAGTCAGAGTCATTGCCATCATGTGCCCATAATCTTTGATTAATGACTACATTACCACTTAAACTAAGACCGGTGGAAACTGATTGGAACTCATCAAGATCCAACAAATTAGTTAACTATATTATCCATACCAAAATAAGTGTTGTCTTTTTAGCAACAAATTAGTTTTTTCTTTTTTTTTTAATCGATTATAATTAGGTTTTCAAGTTCCAACTATTTAAGCACTACTTTTTCTTAACAATGCTAAATTCTCAAGAAATATCTTATAAATTAAACATAGCTGCAGTTTAATATATAATACCCTGTACCTAAAAAAATTAAAATGCAAAAAAGAGATAAAACGACATTTATTATAGGAGGGAGGGACTATTTGGCTATAATTGAAGAATAATCTCATACACCTATCATGTACCAAGGCCGAGTTATAGTTTAATGATTTCTACGTTATGTAACACATTAGTAATTTTCGTATTTTTGTATATCTAAATTTTAATTTTATAATATTGAGTTGATAAAATCTTTCCGAAAAAGTGAAAATTAATTACCAAACAAAATGGAATAAAAGAAAATAATATAAATCTTTTACACAATAGGTGTGACTGTAAGTTTGATTTTCATTACCCCATTTTCTCCAAGATAAAATCTTTTTATTTACAAGAATATTTCAAAGATAAGCTCAAAAAGCAATAAGATTATAAAATGTAATGGTTGAGATAGTGATTTTTGAGTATATCTATGAGCAGAACTGGAATTGAGTAGTCCTAATGAATGATTTTTGGGTGAATGTGAGTAATGAGATGGACCTAAATATGGTGCTATGTAATTACTTGGTGGAGACTCCATTGGTGACTCTGTACCCTCACTCTCTTTACCTACACACATCCCAAAAAATAATTAAACAACTAAAACACCAATATTATAACTGATAAGATTAAAATAAAATCCATGAACTGAAATATTACCTAAACACTTGACATCAGTTGAATTCACCAAACTGCAAACCAAACAAAGAAAAATATTTACTCTAGTTGATCCAAATTAAAATCGAAAAATGAAGTGTTGTGACCCTTGTTCCACATAAATTGGGCCAGAGAGAGTATTATATAATTATTACTTATTTTGGGACGGAGGGAGTATATACCTTCTAAATATTTTGCCTCCGAGATGTCCACGATAAATACAGGCTGTCACATTGCAACCAGATGTTGTATGATTTTCATGCCTTTCTCCAATGAAGATATTGGAATCTTTGCACTGTAAATGTGAACATTTCTCCACAATTCCAGAAGGTGAACAATCCAGGCTATGTTCGATCAACCATTTAAAGAATTAGAACAAAAGAAAAACGAAATTTATCTCTAAATGATTGCAAATCTGTAGCATTATACTAATTTCATTGTTGATTACCTGAGATCAGTAGGTCTGCATCCACATTTGATGCAATTGTTAGCAGTTAAAGCATAAGAACCCTTGGGAACTATTAAGCTTTCATTGTACCAATTCAGATTTGCTGATGAACATGCTGCAGGGGACATTATGAATAAAACAGTACTATACGAAATATCTTAATTTTACAATGAAGTAAGCACTGTATGACTCATAATTCATACCCTTAGGGGTTGTTTGGTAGCTGGTTAAAACAAATATTGTACGATGCATGACGATGGTAGGTGGAGTCAATTAAATCCTTCATCAGAAAATAGTACAAAACATGTTTTATTTTTCTTTTTTTGGTGCGTGTGTGTTTTGGTTACTTACCAGCAAGTGGAATAGCCAGAATATCCCCTGGATCAATTTGATTTTGGCCAAGTCCATTTATGATCTCCAAATTACCAATTGTTACACTATATTCTGTTGCAATTTTTGTTAATTCATCTCCACTTTGCACCACATAAGACATATACACACTATCTGCACCATTATTACTATTATTAAAACAAGTACATGGCAAAGGAATCACAACACTCTGTCCACTTGATAAAGTATTTTCTTCATCAATCCCATTAGCATTCCCAATTTGTTCTGCACTAACCAGTCTTCCATACACTTCCGATACTGACATCAAAGTATCCGTTGCACCAATCGTTGTAACGTGTGGATACAGATCGTCGTATTCCATCCACACATGAACATAAAATTGGTACTTTTACCAATGATTTTTGGGGTAGGATTTGATTTGGTTGATTTGAGTCGATAGAGTTCGCTACTAAGAGATCAGAGACGTTGATTCGGAATCTGAAAGCTATTTCGGAAATTTTGGAGTCCCATGGAAGGCGATATGAGAGATAAGAAACACATGAATCAGATGCACTACATGGTTCAATCACTGATTTTGGTAGTATGCGTTTTGGTAGAACGAGAAATAAAATTAGGAGGTAGATAGGAACAAGAAATTTGCATGTCATTTTTCTGATCTGTTTTTCCTTGTACAAAATGACAGTGTTCTTTTCAATTGAATTGAAGTAATGGTAGGTGAGGAAATTATTGCAAGGACAGAGAGACAGCAAAGAGATAACTGGGATTCGTAGTAGTAAAGTAAAACAATGGCATTAAAATATTGGAGGACCAGGCAATTTTCAGATGTCAGACATTTTGCTCAAACAACTATGTGTATTCACACTGCTAGTTTTCAAAATTTAAGCAAAAATATTGCCAAATTAGGTTTGCATACTATTATTTTCTCTTTTCGTGTACTATACTGGATATGTTATTGATATTTATAGCGCGTAGTCCAGGCAGACTCATAGGTGAAGGCATGAGGCATTACAAAGGGAGATGTAATTGTAAGCGTCTAAGCGATATATCATCTGATATATATGCGCGAGGATACATATACTAATGCATGAAGTACTAAAACTTCAAGTGATCAAACAACTATTCAAGACATGCCTCGAGTTTGTTCTCTAATTGTGTAGACCCAAAAAAATAAAAGTAACATTCTTTAGTTCCTATGTTATTTGTCAACAACAACTAGATACTTCACAAGATTAGGATAAAGTATATTTAAAAATAAATAATTTGGTTGGTAGGATAATATATCACAATGCTTACTCATGGAAACAAAATTCTTCAGAATAGCTTAATTATGATCTATAACTATAGTTTGTTATAACTGTTCAATGATATATATCTATCTATCAAATATAAATTGTCATTATTTATAGATAACATGGATAAATTTTCTAATAATGCGAAAAATATATATACGTCTTTCAGGTTTCAAACTTGCCGCCAAAATTCAAATCGTCCGGCAAAAATTGGCCTAACCGGCGACCACAAATATTTACCGGCGGAATAGCCTTCCGTGAGTATCAATACCTAAAATTCTAGTCTTGATAGGTTTTCAAGATTTATTTTTCTTTGGTTAAATTAAACTGTTTCCTTTTCCAAGTATAAGTGGGAGTTCTAGTTTGGGTTTAATATGGAATTCAGTTTTCTTATTTAAGAACTAATTGTGCGATTAGATTTGTAGAAAATCTTTTTCTTCTTCTTATATATTACCAAGATTGTTGGTCCCAAGATGAATATTACTATGGAAGATATTCCGATTAATCCTAATTGGACCCGTCTAGATATTTTGGCTGTTGTTTGTGAACGTGTTCTTGAAGAAGAAGAAGAAATCGTCAAGGAAACTGCAATGCACGAAGCAGAGAGTCGGGAAAAATTAATGAGAGTAGAAAACCCCAATAGACCAATAGATGATCAAGTTAAAACACGAATAAAAACAAGAAAAAGGGAGTATGATCCAGAAGATAAACGTCGTCGTATTATTGGAAAAAAGAGGAAAAAATCTGAAACAGGGAAAATCCTTCCAATGCCCCAAATTGTCAAGGATCGAATCAATCAGTTGGAGAAAGGTGTAAAAGAGGTGAAATTTATTATTGAAAAAGAAATATTCAAAACGGATTGTGGTGAACATCAAAACCGTCTCTCCATACCAATAACACAAGTTGTGGAAAAATTTCTAACAGATGAAGAAGAAAAGTATCTCTGTATGCCTAGTAATGGCAATAGAATTAACTTTAAGAAAGTCCGAGTGATTGATCCGTCCCTCGATATTTATGAATTGGAATTAAGGAGATGGAAGATGACAGAGAGCGCAATTTATGCGTTGAATGGAAAGTGGACTAAAATGCGTGTTCGTAATAAAATCAAAAAAGGCAATACGATTCAAATCTGGGCTGTTCGAATGGATGACGACGAATTAATTATTGTTATTATGAAGCTTTCTCCCGATGAGAAAACGAAGGTGATCAACTAGCAATAAACGAAGAAAATGATGATAATGAAGTTACAATACAAAAAGTTAATAGTGAAGAGCAAAACGATAGTGATAGCACAGAAAATCTTGCTCATTAGAGGAGTATATATCTATATCTATATTATATTATATAAAGAGAGATAGAAACAATACATTTATTTTTTTCCGTTTGATTGGCTTTTTTTAAAAAAAATTGTTTATATTCTAAAACATCTATAAATTTGTAATTTCTCATTTTTTACTTTTTTTTTTCTACTTGTGCGCAATGAAGTGTGATAATAGAGTATTTCTTAAATCTCTTTTAACATTTCAACATTGAGGTCCTCAACTTATATTAATATAAGGGAACTTTCGCAAATAATTCATATAATAAACTTAATTATGGTTTATATATTTATGGGTTATAGTTACAGTTTAAGTTGTCTTACATTGTATAATTTGCGGGAACATATATATAATTTAATTTTTTTTATAAACTCAAAATAACGTATTTATACAATTACAAACATTAAAAGTGTACACAGTTAAAAAAATCATATCATACAAAAGTTATCCAAATTATATTATTACAAATTTTGAATCATACAAACATGTGAATTATACAAAATTAAAAAATTGAACACTTATTATAGCTAAAAATAAGTGACAAATTGTAATTCACATAAAATACATATATTGACTAACTAGTATATATTTACTTATACACATATTTTCCAATAAAAAAACTCATATCAAATATTTTACATTAAAAGAACTCATATTTTAATAACTTGTACTTTAAATTTAAGCAAATAATAAAATATTAAGAGAAACTATGTATAACGAAAAGGTGTCGTTAGAACAATTAAAAAATAATAAGTTAATTTAGGAATTCAAGACAATAATTAGGTTTCGAATTAAAAAGATGGATAACTTTCACATATAGCAAATAAAAAAATCATATTTAGTATGTCATAGCAAAGTTTGCATAATTGCGCTTATAGCAAACATAGAAAATGTATAATTCGCTATACATATACAGTTAAAGCAAATTGTATAAAACGAAGTGTATAAAACAAGAAAGAGAAAGACACTTGGGCAGAAAACTATATAAAAACGAAGTGTATAAAACGAATTGTATTATTATAAGTTTATAGAATGATTATATACAATTTGAATTTGTATAAAATGAGAAAGAGAGAAAGGCAAAAGAGGCTTGACAAGGAATATACAATTGGATCGAATTGTATAAAACGAGAAAGAGAAAAATTAGATACAATTTGAAAATTGTATAGAACGAGAAAGAGATAAAGGCAAAAGAAACAGGGCAGGGGAGTATTTTTATTGTATAGTCATAAGTGTATAGGACGAAAATATATGTATTTACATGTGTATATACAATTTTCTCACGCTTTATACAAACAAAAACGCAATTTATACATTTCGCTTCTGTTTGTATAAGTGAGAAAGGTGAGGGTGGCGAGCGAGATTTGAGAGAGTGGCGAGCGAGATCTGAAAGAGGGGAGAGAGAGAGGAACAAAAATATATGTATTTATACAATTTTCTCTGTTATATATAATTAGAAACAATTTTATTACACTTGTATTTGTATAAAAAGTGAGGAAGCGAGCGAGAGATTGGGGAGGGAGGCGAGCGAGATATTGGGAGAGAGGCGCCTGACAATTTTTTACAAACGCTTGTTATGGAGCCCAATTAAATCAAACACTAGCTACTCCATTTATTTTAAGTTATTAGTTTGTTATTATATATAATTTTCCCTAAAAAGATTGCTAGTAAAGTTATAGAGAAGACCAGCTAATTCCTTATTAAAAATTTTAAATTAAAAGTTATGTACATTTATTTTAAATCATATTCTAATAAAGTGAAATTATGCGATTAAGCAAATATGTATTATTTAACTAATCACTACATATATTAGTGATAATTATGTCACTCGCTTTTTTCAGTTTGTATAAGCGCGTAGATTTTTGAATATAATTTTGTACAATTTTTGTATAATATAATTTTTGTAAGTATTTAAAATTCAAATGTTTGTGTTTGTATTAATTTGTTATTTCGAACTTATACAAAGATAAACACAAATCAATTAATATCAATCAATTTATATTAATACAAAAGAAAATGACTCAATTATATAAATATACTCGCGAATTATATAAATGAGATCGCTTATAACACCTTAAATTATAGCTAAAGCTCATAAATATGTAAACTATTATTAAATAAAATAATTATATTTATTATAATAACTATTTGGGAAAATTTGATAAACGGTGTAGGTAGCAGGTACACCGTACACCAAGCAAGGACTTAATTCCAGTTGAAAATAAAGGTATTAATTCTCGAGTTATGCCATAAATAAATAGAAAATTTTGTATTAAATTTAAATATTAATAATATTTTTTTAATCTTAAAAATACTTAAAATACTATTCTAACCAAACTTTGGCCAAAAGGATTTTTTTTAATTGTCATTATTTACAGATAACTTGGAGAATTTTAATTTTTTTCTAATATGCGAAAATATTCATGTCCTTTTAGTTCCATCCCTATTCGTCCTGTAAAAGGTTAAACACGCGCCGCCCAAATTCAAATCTCCCGGCAACATGGGCCGAACCGGCGACGGCAGAGATCAACCGGCGGAACAGCCTTCTCGATTTTCAGCAATGAAAAGTAGAATTCGTCAACATGATATCGGTAAACACCGTAGCAAGAAGAAGCAAAGAGTATCAATACGTAAAACTGAGACTGAATCTGCAACCGTAACCCTAAATCATACTTCTACTTCTTATACACATTCATATGCAAATTCGTACTCATACTCGTACAGTAGGGGCAAAGAAAAACGGCATAAAGGAAAAGCAAAGAGGGCAATTGCAGATGATAAACGCAAGTGGGTTTACTCTACTCACGACGTTTCCCCAAATCAAGGTTACCGATTGTCAATTGATAAGAAATTTCATCGGTTCTTCTATTTGTAGTCTTTAATGTGTCTGCAATCATATACAGTATTTTTTTTTGAATTTGGCATATGTGTATCCGCCTTTATTGTGTCTGAATAATCATCTTAATTTTGCAGATAGAGTTATTCTTATGTCGTATAACATACTAGGGGTAAAAAATGCAGCAGCACATGAGGACCTGTACCGCAATGTCTCTCCAAAATATTTGGATTGGGACTACCGGAAGAAGCTCATATGCAAAGAAATTAGGGACTATAATCCGGATATAATGTGTTTCCAGGTAACTTTTAATTTCAAAGTTTGTAGTTTTCTGTATATTTATTCTTCATAAAAGGGAAGGAGAGGAAAATAGAGCTAAGAAGTTAAGAAAGCCTACTGTATATTTATTCTTAAAAGATACACCCATGATTTGGTTCAGTGTGATAGAGGTTCGGATGCATTATTCATAGAGTTGGAAGTTGAAAACAACTGATTTCTCGATTATCCAAATAAAAACATTGTAAATGAAATTATTGTTTCACTATTTTCTCGCCGAGACTGTTTGAATTACTGTATGAACACATTGTGTAGATGTTCAGCCATTTTAGAGGAACTTATTTCTTCTTGTAAACCTGCAGGAGGTTGACCGTTTTGATGATTTAGATTATCTCCTCCAGAAAGAGGGCTTTAAAGGGGTTTATCAGGTCTAATGTAGTGGAACTTTTCTATGGATGACCTGTATGTTGAATTCTTTGTCACATTTTTTAATCAAATGGCGTTTTTCTTTTTCCTTTACCAGGCTCGTACAGGTGATGCAAGCGATGGCTGTGCAATATTCTGGAACAACAAGCTGTATGGTCTTTGATTCTTTCTTAATTTCTCTTGGATTTTGTTGCTGCTTACTAAGCTAGGTTCTTTTTATGGGAAATGAAGACCTGCTGGCAAAAGCTGCAGTTTTTGCTCGTCATTTTTGGCTACGTCTACGGAGATTGAAAACTGTCTGCTGCTAATTGTTTCCATTTCTTTCTTATCTAATTTATGCTACTTCCAATTTACAAATATATCTGGTTACAGATTTGACATTCTGCATGAGGAGAGCATAGAATTCCAGAATTTTAATCTACGCAATAATGTTTGCCAACTTTGTGTTTTTAAGGTAAATCTGCCATGCATTTCATTATTAGTTTCTTTTTTTTTTGGGGGGTGGGTGGGTTTTGCACTAGGGATAATATTGCCCAGTGTAGTGATGATGTGCCTTATTTATTGGAGGCTTTGGTCTCTTTTAATTTGTTTGATATCTTTCTTTGGCACTTCCAGTGTGCTGATTATTTTGATAAGTTACTAAACAATGTTACTTTTGGTAGTTTGTACTTAGCAGAATCAGCTGATCAAACAAATCAGCTTGCTGCAGTGACTACATGCCTTTTTCTGGATTTACTCTCTGTTTGAGACAACTGCATGCTAAGCTTCATTTTATCAGGCATTTTTAATCTTATTTAAAGAATAGGCTACTAATCTCAGAATAACGGTGTGATGTCATTACATGAATGCACTCTACACATGCTGCACATATTATGACATGACAGGATATATCATTTCATCATCTCTGTTCTGGACATTGATGTTGCATGAAATTTCTTAGACTATCATGCAAGCCTGTTCTTATTTCCCCTGCACACTACAAGATGGTCGCAAAGAGTTTATTTTACTCTAATGTTCAAATGGGGTCTACTTTGATGTGTAGTTCTTTTAATTAACTTTTAGATGAATGTGAAAAGTTCAACCAAGGATGTGAGTGCTTCAAATTCGGAGTAAGTCTGCTCTATTTTATTTTATTCTCAAATGTTGAGTTTTGTATGATGCTGTGATTACTTAGTTTATGTAAGTTTTAGTTTCAGTTTCTCAATTCTGGTCAATATGTTATGGTTGCTCGAATGTTTGTGGTTAGGAGTGTATCCTCGCCAAGCTTTCTGGTTGGCAATATTCATGTACTCTACAACCCCAATCGTGGAGACATCAAATTGGGACAGGTATAACTTTTAAGCAACAACTAATGGTTGATCGTTTTACGACGAATCAACTAGTACTTTGGATAATAGTATTGTCACTGAACACTTGGACGAATGTTCCGTTAACTTGGTTTTTTATATTACTGCCAGCACCAATATTCCACCCCCTCCACCCCTTTTAAACCCCCCTTCCAAATAAAACTATAATTTTGTTTAGGCACGCTGTACTGAATGGTATTTCGTCTCTTTTATGCTTGGAAGCTTTTTCCCTTTAATTTGAATAAAGCAGGATAAATTCTGCTTGGGGGTTGGTCTTAACTTTTAAATTCCTTAATCCTTACTAAAGCGTCTTCGCTTCACCTGATGGCTGATGCATGTTTACATCTGCCTCCTTAAAAAAGACTAGTGGTGTGACTGTCACTGAATTTGGTTCTAGGACCAATAGTTTTATTTTGACATTTTTATCTGTCCTATAACATCTCTCTCTCACTATTTGTTTTTGTAAGGAGCGTCTCCATTAGGATTCTTAAAGCTTGCATAGCACTTCCCTTGTTTATTTTGCTTGATCATTAGTTGTTCTAAACTTATCAACTCTTCATTTGAAATTAAATTTTATGAACTAAATCTTAAACTGGTTTCAAATGGTGATTCTGTAGTGAAAAAGTTTCAAAGAACTAGAAATAATCAGTTTACATGAAATGCGCATTATGAAGAGAATGTGGCTGTTTGTGGGTTAACATGAAAAAATGTAGCTTGACATATTGTTTTTCTGATCAAGAAGTCTTACCTAAACTTATTCAAAATAGACAGCGTTCCTGTAGTTCAATCTTGAACTATGAGAAAATTTTAAATAAGTTATAAATATTTTATCAGGGAAAGTTTTAATAAAATTGGTTATAGCTGTTATGGGTTAATTGATTCTTGCAACTTATTTTTTGATGTAATAGGTTAGACTCTTTCTTGAGAGTGCCCAGAGGCTATCTCATGAATGGGGTGATATACCAGTCGTGCTTGCTGGAGATCTAAATAGTATGCCTCAGGTAATTTACCTATCCTGGAAAGTTTTTTTGGAAATGTTATATTTTGAAGCTTGCAGATCTAATTTCCTATTTGTTGCTGCTCAGAGTGCAATGTATCAGTTTTTGACTTCAAATAAGGTGAGACAGCTACCAGAACTCTGTTTCTTATACTTTTTAATCACTTTGAATTTTTTTTTAAGTTTTGCAATTTCTAAATCACGTTGCATTTGGCACAGTTGGACATCCAAATGCATGACCGAAAGCAAATCTCTGGCCAAATTTATCCATTGCAAAATAGAAGCTTCAACCCGAGGTTCTTTTTATGTGTGTCTTTTATTTCTGGGCACCTATTAATGCTTAGCCAATTTGAAGTAACAAATAGTTCTAACTTTAACATTGAGTGGCTAAGTAACAAATGGTAACTGCACATGCATGAAATCCTATAAGCCTTGAACAGATTAAGTTATAGATGGAGTAATGAAGAGCTATTGCTTGCTACCGGAACAGGAGCTAGTCAATTGATACATCAGTTACAACTGCGCAGTGCCTATGCTGGAGCTCCTGTATGTTTTCTTCTTTCCAAATTTCATCGCTTTCTAATTCTTTTAAATGGATCTCTGCCATTGTGTAGTTGATAATGTGAAAGATTTATCTTCAGTTGTTGAATTCAGGGAACACCAACATACTTTGACGTCAATTAAAATTTAATTTTAAAAAAGGGTTGCACCTAAACTGTTGTTTCCCTTGGCCACTTTGTTAATTTCTTATTCTGGAACTGTTCAAAATTTAGAACAGGAAGGGTATATTTCCCCTTGGAAGTAAAAGTAAAGAAAGGTTAGGAGAGAAAAAATGGAATTCGTTATAAGGGAAATTGGCAAAAAACCAAAACAAATAGAGAAGAAAGTCGGAAAAAGAAGAGCATGAAAAGAGTGGGGATAGTTTCCTTTATCGTCTTATTCTTCACTATCTCTTTCTTCCTTTTTCCTTCTTATTCTTCGTTCTCTTTTGTTTTTTGTCCCTCCTTTTATTCTTTCACTGTACCTTTTTTTTTGGGGGGGTTCCTGCTCTGGCTTCCTTCTGTTGTCCTTTTCCTAGTAGTATTTCTGCACTCAATTTTAACAGTTTTCTTTAGAAATATGAGTAGAAATTTTATGAGTTTAAGATCGAACTTCATATACTTAAGGATTGTTTGGTTGGTGGGATAATTATAATAATCCCGAGATATCCCACATAGAAGGTGAGATAGGTAATTCCATGGGGTTAATATGTTTCTTTCTCTAAATTTCTTACCTGCTTATTACTTAGTCCATGTCAAACAGGTTTCAGTTTATAGAGTTCAGTTTTATGTTGTGTTGCTTTCATAAGTCTTTATATTTAAATTTCTAGGGAAGTTCCAGAACCAGGGAAAACTCTGGAGAACCCTTGGCGACATCATATCATTCGAAGTTTTTGGGAACTGTCGACTATATATGGTACTCTTTACTTAATAGGAGCAGTGCATTTGCCTGAAATAGAGTATTACTGCCATACGTCAATGGTAGTTTCCTTTTTAAACATTGTAAGGTGATGCAGGCACACAACAGAGTTTGTTCCAGTACGAGTTCTTGATACCTTACCTGTCGACATTTTAAGGAGAACAGGAGGGCTTCCTAGTGAGGTAATAGCTAGCTATTTGATTCAAGGAAAAACATTTAAGTGCCTTGTGAGTTATTTCCGTAGAGAATATAATATTTGATGAAAGCTGAGAGACGATTAACTCTCAGAAGGCTCAATCCCAGTGCTTAAAATCACTTTTGAAGTTTGCTGGGCTATGATCAACTTCTTCAACTATCTTATGAAGGACTTGTTCAATTTTCTTGTTTCTGCAGAAATGGGGAAGTGATCATCTTTCTCTAGTGTGTGAACTGGCTTTTGCTGATGAAGGGAGTGAGACTTGACTATTCCTTTCGATTAAAGTTAAAAGTTGAAATGCAAAACGGAAGGTCTATCATGCATGACATACTGCTTCATGGGATAAGCAGATTCATCGGTGCATAGAAGAATCTTGTGCGAACATAAGTGTACAAGGAGGAACATGGGAAAGAACAGAGACTCGCGAAGTTACATTATAGGGATCAAAAAGACGATCCTTTTTTTTTTTGTCTGTCCTCTTCATCTTAGTAATTTATTAATCATAATTAATGTTTTATTAAATATAATAAAACCATCTGAATTATAGTTTTGTTTCCAACAAAAGATTGCACTATTCATTGTAACTTGTAAAGAAACATGGTAAGTTGCAACCTTAAAAGGAGAGACTGTCGCATCGTTCAAATATCTAGTCAAGTGCTAATTTAAAACATCTTCTACATTTGACCTTGTCATGCCTTAAAAAGCTGCTAACGTTGTGTTTTTTCTGAAAATTGGTTTTAATAACTTGGACATATCTGAAATTACAAAAATTGAAATACTTTTTAAGTTAAAACATTTATGACTTAAGAGTAATACGACCCTCTGTGTCATCCTCCACTAAGTAATTCTTTACCTCTTTTGATATTTCTATTCTACTTGGCTCATGAAATGGTAGATATCCATCATTTTCAGAAAATATTTCACAGCATCAAAGTAAATAAGTTCAGGTCGTGCCACAATTTCAGCCACCCACAACTAAAACGAAAGCAAAAGATCATCTATCTCATACAAAACACATATTCGCGTCGATTTTATTTCAATTTTCTTTTCTGGAAAACATGAAAAGGTCCCCTTAATGAAAGACAAAAGAAAAAGCAAAACAAGGGGCTCTACCTTACACCTTTCAGATTCTCCACATATGAAATCAAGAAAACCACAAACTTATGTGCATAATGTAACATATCTAAGCATTACACAATTGCTCAAATATATTGATAATAACATGAATAGAATTTCCTCTTCCTTTTTAAAGATGAACATCTGTTGAGCAAAGGCAAAAAATCCCAAGAACCACCCCGTTTTCATAGCTCACATTTTTCGACTTTACAACACACCCTCTTCAACTTAACTCAATAATTATGGAGCTGATTGATCTTATACCAAAACTGCATCTAACCATCTTAAGTCAACTTCATCTAGGTCGACTTCATCTTTGAAAATTTTGCAATAAACACACTCATTCCAACCATCACAGCATTGAAAAGTGTTGTCCAAGCATATAGCATCTGCATATGGATCAAATAATTGTGATATATCTTTATCAAATAAAGCATTGTCATCAAAGCCTAGAAGTTTCAAGCTATTCCCCGTAACTGCTGTTTCCTCGATGTTCAAGTGAAGCAGCTCTGTATGAATAGGAGACATGATTGTAGGCTCGTTTAATACACTGAAAATGGACTTGTCATTACTGTAGTCCTCAGTTCCCTTTGTCAATATTTTACAACTTGCTATCGTTGGTTGTCTGGCTTTCGTTTTCTTCCTGATATTCACTTCAGTCATCTCCATAACGCTATTGCTGATCGAGCCTTGTTCTATCAAAGGATGTTCGATCAATTCTGAAATGCCCTGTCTTTGTTTGATAAATTCATGAAGCATTTGGTCCTCAAAACTCAAGCTAAAATCTTCAGAACCTGAATCTGGCATTCGAGCCATATCTCTCGTTAGATTTTCATTGGACTCAACCGGGGCAGCAGCTGATGATGTGGGGACATCTAGCACCGAAGACGGGGAAGGGTGTGAGTACACACGATTTTTCCCATTTGTAGGATGAGACGTACACGCCATAGAACACTCAGCAGGACCAGGGCTCAAATTCTTACCCTTCCCCAATGAAATAATCCTATCAAATTCAGCCCTCTTTGCCTCGTATGCTTGTGAAGCCGCCTCCACAGTCTCAAAAGTCCCTAACCATATTCTTTTCCCCTGCGAGGGATCTCTGATCTCAGCTGCATATTTCCCCCATTTCCTCATCCTAACTCCTTTAGGCAACGCGGTCGATTTTAGCTGCACCTTCTTATTTTCATGAATCTTCTTGGAATCTTTAATCCTAATGTTATCAAGTTTAGAACATTTTTTAAAATCATTCTCCCATGAAACAACAGGAATAACAATTTCCTTAACAACACGCTTGATTCTGTTCACATTTTTATCGAAACGAGCAGCATTCTGATCATCATCGCTCTCAGAGTCCGTAGCATCAGGATCATCATAAACTATGCGAACTTTCCTCACTGAACTAATGCAACCATCCATAACCCTCTCCCTTTTAACATCCTTTTCAAACTTCATATCTTTAACAATTTGGGGCAAAAATAGATAAACCCTAAACCCTTTCACCTTCACATACACCAACACCAAGAATTAAATTTCTGGTAAAATCGTTAGTCCCAAGAAAACCCCAGAAATTCTACAACCAAATCAGAAAAAACACAACCTTTTCACATGAAAAGACTCAAAGCACTCCACTCCAAAACAAGTCCTCCTGTAAACACAACAAAAATACAAAACCCCTTTTAAACCCCATTGAATATCCATGTCTCACAAATAGTACTAATACAAGATTCAAATCATGTAAATCTGTTTCTTTAAAGAAAAAATGTACAAACAAAATCATGTAAATCATACATAAACAAGAATTTGTACAAACACCATACATCACATGCATAGATATATTTTATAAAGTACAAATTAAAAGATCAAGATCATACCTTTTTGGTCAAAAAAATGATGGAAGAAGGTAAGAGACACTTTTCTTGCCTACAAAATTGAACCAAGACAACAGTGAATGTGAAAAAGAAAAAAGCAAAGTTCTTCAGAAGCTCTAAGCCAGATCAATTACACCTCTGATCACAAACGACATATAATTCCTTTTTCTGTCTCCTAATCACCTCATGAAAAATGTTAAATTTTTTGTTTAAAAAAAATAATTAGATTCAAATAAAACTGATAAAATCTCTCACTGTAAACAGAAGTGTTAAAAGAATAGAACTCTGTTCTTTCTCCCAAACAAAGTGGAGAGAATTTGGGGGTAGAATGACAATTTCAAGAACCATATAAAGTGTCCGCGTGGACTCTCTATGGGACCATAATATAATACTACTTTTTTTTTATATATATATATATTTTATTAATTTTTCTAAACTAAAGTTTGAAAGAGTAATTGTTTTTCTATTTTTACTTGTATTTGTATTTTCTCAAAAATAAATATTTGTTTTTAATGGAATTTTGTTAAAGTCTGAATAATTTAAATTTTGAAGGAAGGTTCTTTATTAAAAAATTTCTATATCAAGCTTAAAACTTTCTATGTTTCTAGTATTTACTTCCTTTTACCTTTTCTCAACTTTTATATTGGAATTTAAATTTTTTTTACTAATTTGTTTTGGTTACTTCCATTAATGTTAAAGAAATAACGTCCTATTTTAGGAATAACAATAAATGTTTCCTTATTTATTTATTTATCAATTAGTCAAGTCTAAGGATATTTTTAAAACTATTAATAATTTAAAGGCGAAACTAACAATTTTTGTCAAATTCAAGAGTGTTTTCGTTTTTCAAACTTTCACTTGAAAAGGAAATAAAATAATCCTTGCTATTTTATGAATATTGAAGGGGAGAGTGATTTTAATTCCACATATAATCTTAATAATAAAATAAAATTGCTAATGTTGTGTTTGGAACTTGAATTAGTGTGCATTTTTAATTGATAAACATGTATTCGAGGAGCTTTTGGGCTTGTTGTAAATGTTTTTCCATAGTTGGAGAGACAATTAATTAATTGACTGGTTAATAATTAAGGAGTGTTGTTTTTTCAATTTTTCATCACCCGTTTAGAGTAACTGATTTTTTTATTTTTTTTTGACAAATTTTCAATTAATTTTACCACCCATATTTAGCATTTTTGTAGCAAAATGACCAAAGGTATTTTTAATTTCCAAAGATGCAATATTTTGATATCTATATTGATGTTTCGTCTAATTTAAATTTGTATTATATAAAATTTATCAAAGTAAAAGGTCATGTGTATTGGGATGTATTTTATACGTCATATTTGAATGTGCAATATTCAATTATGGAGAGATAAATTGTATTCATTTCATTTGTAATTTTAATGATTATTACAAAAATAACAATAAGTTTGAGTTATATTTTAATAATAATACTTATTTTCACCCCAGGGCGTGTAAAATATAATGAAAAATAGGATTGATTGTATGGTTGGGAGATTAAAATTCAAATTGTAGAAGGAAAAAAATTGAAGGTGATTTTTGTTATTTATTTAAAAATGTATTTTATTAGATTCATTAAGAGATTATTTGGTTAGAGAATATGTGAGTTATTCTGATTGTGAATTTGATAAAAAAAAATTCATGCTTAGTTAAAAGCATTAGCAAGAATATTATTAAAAATCATAACAATAATTGGATAACTTATGTAGTAAAAGTTAGGATATGTTATTCATATATCAACTTGATTTTAATTGTAAAATTATAAGTTTGAGAAATATAAGTGTTAAATCAAATGGCCATAGAGCATTAACATTTGATATTTCTTATGATTTGTTGTTTGATGACATGATGTTGAAGAAAAGCGTGAACACAATAAATAAAATAATCTAAAGAAAAAACGTGAACTCAGTAGAATTTTATGACTCTAAATATATCATAACATTTGTGTGATTAGAAAAATTTTAACACATAATTTTATACTTATCAAACAATAATATAATTATCTTAAAAAATAATTAATAAAAAAAGAAAAAATAAATAGAATTAGAGAGGACAATAGGATGCACGGTAGAGCGGGATTGAATCTTTGCGGCATGGCTTACAAATATAAACATTTAATTAATTTCATAATTTATCTATACTATATTAAAAGTATAAAAAAATGGGCAACTTTCACATATAGCAAATAAAAAATTCATATTTGTATGCTATAGCAAAGTTTGCATAATTGCGCTCCATAACAAACATAAAACTGTATAATTCGCTATACATATACAATTATATAATTCGCTGGCCTATTTCGCTGCAATTGTATAATTCGCTATCCTATTTCACTGCAATTGTATAATTCGCTGCCTATTTCGCTGCAATATTTTTATAAAATTTGCTTTGCGTACAATTGAATCGAATTAAAATGTATGTATATTGCATAATTATAAGTGTACAACAAGAAAATATATGTTTTTTTCTCGCTTTATTGTATAAAGCGAGAGAAAATTGTATTTCACTGTAATTGTATAATTCACAATTATATAATTCGTTGGCCTTTTTCTCTAAAATATTTGTATAAAATTTGCATTTGTCTACAATTGAATTGAAGTAAAATGTTTGTAAATTGTATAATTAAGTGTATAACACGAAGATA